AAAGCCCACGCTGTAAACCCTTGCTTACATGACTCCACCTCAACATCCCAGGGCCCATGGCTCCCAAACTCCTCGAAGCTCCAAGCACCACGCAAGCCTGTTTGCTTCCTTCAATGACTGGGCCAGGGCCCATTGGAGCTGCTCGTCCTCCTCGGCCGCATGGCTTAAAGTAAAAGCCAGAAAGTTGGAATATCATTATCGTAACCCCTTTGAGGTAAATTATAAGGTATCCTACTCTGAAACCATATTCCAACTTTCTGGAGTTCCCTGTAGGGTTTAGGGGTTTAGAGTTTAGGGGTTTCGGGGCTCACACTCGGACAATCAAGGCGAGGCATGTGGTTCGGAGTCTGACAATGTGAGACATACTAGCGGGTGTCATAGGATGAAAGCAACACAGTGTATCGGAACAACTAAAGTGAATGGACCTGCTTTGACTGCATCTCCCAAGATCCTACAAATTGAAGCAGACAGTGGACCAGTAAGACATTGGGAACGGGTTGAGGGTTTAGGGTTTAGGGTTTAGGGATGTTACGGTCAAGGGTCTGGGGAGGGCTTTAGGGTTTACCGGGCCTCAAGAGTTCAGCTTACAGGCGTCTAGGTTTGAGGGTTCCAGGTCTACTGTGGTTAGGAGCGTGCGTTTCAGACCGGGCGGACTTGACATAAGAAGTACGGTCATCGGCACATATGTGGCTTTCGCCCGCAAACACTCCAGGCTTGGAACCCGAAAAGGCCTAGCGCATGAAGTGGGACTCGCTTGGGGCTTCGGATTTACTTCGATAAGTTGCGAGCTTTGGTCTCAACGACTGTAATGATGCTGATGATTCTCGAGGAATGGATGTGGGTCCTATCTGGGCTCAGAATGACTCAGGACTGATCGCAGTCAATGTGCGAGGACCTCTTTGGGAGTCCACCAATCCTGTGACGATGTCGTCGCACGACCAGAGTTGTCTTAAGCTGGAGCTAACACAGACACTTCCGAGCACGAAGCAGGGCAGCAAGTAAAGACAACAAAAAGTCTAAACTCCTATTATCACCTTAGAAACCTCTTAGTAGTCCCCTATATAATTCCCCATATACCCTAGCGCCATTTTGGGGGCCTTAATAATTAGAATGTGGTTTTGGGGACCATTATACTAAAATTATAATAGCAACCCCCAAACTAGCATGGGTAATTATTGAGGCCCCTATATTCTAATGTGGTTTTGGGGACCATTATACTAAAATTATAATAAGCAACCCCCAAACTAGCATGGGTAATTATTGAGGCCCCTATATTTTAATATTATATAACTTTAGTGGCGCCATGCAGCTTCTCCCCTAGCTGGGTTGCCCACAGCAGTCAGGGCCGGCTGCTTCTCAGGGCCTTCCCCGACCACTCGGCCAACGATTGGCTATCGCGGGCGTGGCACAACCACATATGTATGTATGTATGTATGTATGTATGTATGTATGTATATTTATATATACATATCTACACATACATAATATACTTACGTATGTATATACCTATATATACATATATACACATATGCATGTGTGTATGTATATGTTGTGCACAATGTATGCTTGTATGCATGTATATACGTATGTATATCCATGGTCCATCTATATATATACACATGTGTGTGTACACACATTTGTATACATATAAACATATATGTATAGGCAAGTAGGTATGTATATATATATATATATATATACATACATACATATATGTATTATAAAATCGTGCTCAGGTCGTTGCTGTCCTTGCTGTCATATTGTGCAAATCCACTGCTGGATCTTCATTCTCGCGATTTCGGAACTGTAATATCTGGATGGATGCTTCAACATTGACGCCCCCGGTACTGAGGGTAGATTTTCTGATCCAAAGCCCCAGTGATGAAACAAGGGAGGGGTGCACCAATTTTCACTTATCTATGGAAGTAGCAGGCAAGAGTCAGTCGAAGCTCAGCAGTGTGCGCTGCAAGTGAAGCTCTGGCAGTTTCCCGGTCGGGGGCCTACAAAACCCTGCGGCTCTAGGATACTGCTTCGATTTTGTGTTTTTTTGATGGGCTTCGGATAGTTTCGCCAGGTTTTTCCCTCGGGCTTAATAAGGCCTAGGGCTCTGTAGCCCTGAACCCCCACCACGGGCCCGGCCTCGGATAGCAGGTTTCGGATTCGATGAGGGGCCCGACAGCATGTTCTCGGCCTTCAACTTACCGACAAGCACCGCCCTTAAGTGGTTCTGTTAAGGGTTCCGGAGGGGTTTCTTTTGGGCGGCCACCCCTGTGCGTCCACAGTCAGACCGCGTTAAACTAACATTTCGAAAGCACAGACTCCTTGAAAGCGCTGTGGAATATGAAGTTCCTCCCGGTTCGCTCTGCAGCCAAGCTTCGGGGTGACATGTTCAAGAACAGCTTACACAAAACTGGGTTTCAGCAACGCGGACACTGACTCGGCAGCTCAGGTTTTGCAAAGCTACAGCAACCCTAAAGCTTCTTTTGCCGATCTGCTGGGGCTGAAACCCTATATATACTCTAAACTCTCACGAAACCAACGTGCCCGAAAGCCTCACAACTAACCCAACGCTTGCAAACGATTCAAAGACACGACTCCCAATACTGAATCTCAACATCTCGGACCCTTATCCAGAGGCCCCATAGTAGCTCCTTTTGGGATTGCCTCATAAGATTCTAAAATCTGAACCCCCCAAAAGGAACTACTATGGGGCCTTAGGGTAAATAGGTGGCCTCCTGCATCAGCATCGTTGCCCCACGCTCGAAGACTCGTTCGGCCTTTTCCATGTGCTTCTCCTGAGGTCAGGGTTTAGGGGTTTAGGGTTTAGGGTTTAGGGTTTAGGGGTTTAGGGTTTAGGGTTTAGGGTTTAGGGGTTTAGGGGTTTAGGGTTTAGGGTTTAGGGTTTAGGGTTTGGGTTCGTCAGCTTAGGATCTTGTTTTTCAGGAGTCTGGTTCCTCTATCCTGCAGTCGCTATCTAGTTACTTTCTGGACTGGATCAGGTGTAGCACGGAAAGATTTGGGTGGGGAACTCTGTTCGGAAATAAAAAATCTGCAGAGTTGCTAACGAGTCTGGCAGGAAAGCTTTTGAAGGTTGCATGGACCCTGAACTCACTGCGAGCAGCTGAGCGCGCGGCTGCCTTCTGAGAGAAGTGCTGGAAATTCTTCCGCGCAGCTTTGCGCGCCTGGCGCCAAATGGATTTTATTAGTTTAATAGTCTACGTACTAATTGGTGAGTCCAGAGAGTTGGGTGTTGGCACCAGTCAACCGTACAGCAAGCCACAGTAGGGATCCCTTTCCTGCGCCGGCTTTTCACAAGTTTCAATACCAACATGGCCTTACATCCAGGCTAAACTCGAATCATTTAAGGCCCTAAACCCTCCAAGCACATCATCGGAAGGAAGAGCCCTGAAACCTATGGCTCCCGACTTAGAACCTCAAACCCCTAAACCTGAATCCTGAAACCTCCCATGTAAGAAACCGAAAAGCAAGTGTCCACAGCCTCACAACACCAACCAAGCAATACCCATGTAGAAATTCTAAGCCCTTCCAACAGCCTTCATTAAGCCTCGAGCCCCTCGTGCTAGAACCCAAGAGGTAAGGCGTGCAAAGCCATCCCAAAAAGTCTGTCAACCCTCAACCCTAGCCCTATAAACCCTACGGGCAAAGCCTTGTCGAGATCTGAACTCATGGCCTGTCGAGACTTGGGTTTTGGGGTGCCAAACAAATCGCAGGAGCTTGTTGTCTTTGCAGGCTCATTCGGGCTTGAAGGTGGTTGGTTTAGGTTACCGTTTTTGGAGGGGGTAAGGGGGGCGTGCTTCACAAAATGTTTGGGAGGCTGTGCACGTGTTTAGGGCTACAAGATTTTGAAGCCTTTTGAGGTGTAGGGCTTTTTGGTCGTACCAGTAGCAGCAGCTGCATAGTAGTCATCGTCGTAGTAGTAGTAGTAGTAGTAGTAGTAGTAGTAGTAGTAGTAGTAGTAGTAGTAGTATTAGTAGTAGTAGTAGTAGTAGTAGTAGCAGCAGCAGCAGGAGTAGCAGTGCCAGTCGATGGCAGTGGCAGTGGCAGTGGCAGTAGCAGTAGTAGTAGTAGTAGTAGTAGTAGTAGTAGTAGTAGTAGTAGTAGTAGCAGTAGCAGTAGCAGTAGCAGTAGTAGTAGTAGTAGTAGTAGTAGTAGTAGTAGTGGTAGCAGTAGTAGCGATAGTAGTAGTAGTAGTAGTAGTAGTAGTAGTAGTAGTAGTAGTAGTAGTAGTAGTAGTAGTAGTAGTAGTCGCAATAGCAGTAGTAGCGATAGTAGTAGTAGTAGTAGTAGTAGCAGCAGAAGTAGCAGTAGAAGTAGTAAGAGTAGGAATAGGAGTAGGAGTAGTGGTAGGAGGAGTAGGAGTAGGAACAGGAGTAGTTGTAGGAGTAGGAACAGGAGTAGGCGCAGGCACAGGAATAGGAGTAGGGGTAGGCGTAGGCGCAGGCGTAGAAGCCGGAGCGGGAGTAGCAGCAGCTAGTCGTAGTCGTAGTGGTAGTAGTCGTAGTAGTCGTCGTCGTCGTAGTAGTAGTAGTAGTCGTCGTAGTCGTCGTCGTAATAGTAGTAGCAGTAGCAGTAGCAGTAGGAGTAGTAGGAGTAGTAGTAGTAGTAGTAGTAGTGGTAGTAGTAGTAGTAGCAGTAGTAGTCCTTCAACTCGAGATCCTTTTACTTGACCCCATGCTCGGACGCCGTGCATTTCTAGTGAGAGTGTGTGTGTGTGTGTGCGTGCTTTCTTGCAGGATCACAAACGCTCACACACATACATGCAGACGTAATATGCATACATACATACATAAGAGTTACATACATGCATAACAAGTATAATTACATAACGAACATACACACACATACATACGGACATGCAGACAGACAGACAGCCAGCCAGGGAGGCAGGCAGGCAAGCAGACGGACAGAAATCTGGACAGACAAAAAGACAGACATACTTAAATGCACGCAAACATTCATACCTACGTACATGCGAAGACTCAACCCGGAAAGCTGCAACCTACTTTTGCTGCTGCCTTAGCAAAAGAGCTCCAGCCATTGGAGCTGCTCTTGCCCTCGAAGCAGCGGCCGACGATCTCAGTCGCGAGCATTCGGACCTCAGGCCCCAGAGGCGTGTGGTTCGCTGTAGTTACCTGCCACAACACAAGATCATGATAAGTTATGCTCATGCCGAGCATTCTTTCTCAAAGCAAGTCGGGTCCTGTAGTCCAGAACAAAGCTAACCTCTTGAAGAAAACTGGGTTGAGGTTTGGCATCCACCTTCTCGTAGAGATTGGGTACAAGCAGCACTATGGAAACCCCATCTGACAAAAGCTCCAAGGAGAAACTCTGCAACCTCTAAACAAGCATGCCGCATGCTGCTTTTGGAACCCTAGGTGTCCCAGTCAGTTCGAGTTGTTCAGTCGTTGTGGGTCGCCGGGTTGTGGCCACGTTGGTGTGAAGTTGAGCATGTCCGCTCGGCTAGCATTAATGCCAGTGTCTTTTTGAAGGCCTTTCACCGCGTTGAAACATCGCGGGCAATCGGGTGCGATCAAATTAACAGGTACTCTGACGGTTCTCATACGTTCAAGCAATATGCCAGCGTGACTTTGATGCCTCAGAGTTCTGTTGTCATTTCTTCAAGTCTAAGTAACGTGTCGACCAAGGTCCCTTGAGAAGACACACAGTCCGTAGAGCAGCACGAATCAGAAGCAGCTGCTGGGCGAAAGAATCCAAACTTCTTATAGGACCCTTTATACAGTACCTTGATAATAGTACACATAAAAAAACCCATACATACATATATTTTTCCTATATACTCATATAGTACCTTATGTCAATACTTGTCAATGTAAATCCCGTGCTGTCGCGGTGGGAGCCGAGCGTTTTCGTCCATTGCTGCCCCGAGCTCGTTCCCTCGCACTTGACGGAGCGCCTCACAAGGACAGGCTATGGCCCCCAAAAAGCACACAGGCCAAAATTAGGATAGCGTATAAACCCCCCTATAATGAAGCCCAATAAGGAAGCCCTAGAAAATGATAATGCTTATGTCTTTTTTGGGTCCCTAACAAGCGCGCCTCAAAGTCGGGTTTAGGGTGGGAGTTGCTTCTCTTAGGGTGGATACGGCTTAGGTTTCCAGGGGCGGCTTTATGGGTTTATGGTTCCCCGGCGAAGGCGAAGTTGTTGCAGGCCAGCTTGGAGCCAGGGGGATCATGTTGCATGTCGCGCGGGGGGGGGGGGAGGTGTGGGGGGGGGGGGGGGTAAGAACCAGCTGCCGATAAGAATCCTGGGCCTTCTCCTGAAAATATCAGAATCACCTCCCAGCATCTCCGTCATGAAAAGTCGACAAGTCCAGCCTCTAAGCTTAAGGCATCCAGCCCGTCTTGTTATTTGGAACTTTATCCGATGCCTCCAAGGCTTCACGCAAGCCTTCGGCTTCGGCGAAGACTTCCACCTCCGTTTGGGAGCTGCTGGGAGATTTCTCACGATTCCAGCAGTGCAGTTTTCTTGAACCAGCTGGGTGCGACGGTTGTGCTGCAGATCTGTCCTCGGTCGATGCCCCTCTCTCGAAACCAGTGCACAACTCTCCTTCGTTGACAGTGAGCCTAAAAAACTGTAAACACTGAGCCATTTCCCCCTGGCACTTCAGCGAAAGCTGTCTGAGTTTGCTGCCACTTGCTGGTTGTACAGCATCTCGTGAGCCTTCAGACTTGACTAGGTTTGGTTTCCGGATAAGGCTTGTCCTTTTTGGCTATTGGATATCAGGATTCTGGGTTCCAGGGGTTCTCTGAGTATCCGGCTGAACTTTAGCGAAATTGCAAGATTCCGAGACCCAACTCCTGCAATTCAGAATCAATTCTTAGTACCACAATGCCGGGCATCGTTAGTATGGTGGTACGGGATATATCCGGGGCCAGAGACTCCCATACACACACGCAGAGTTGGGTCGCCGGCGATTGTCAAAGCCTTGAGCTTGACCTTTGCAGTTTGCGACTTGACAGCAGCCGCAGCAGCACTAGTTGCAACAGCTGTAAAGGTGGTTGTCGCAGGAGTAGGAGTTCCGGCGGCGAGGGCATGACCAAGAAGGTTTGGGACTTCGCAGTGGCCTACATTAGAAGTCGATTCGATAACAAGAGGCTGTACTCAGGCGAAGCTGTACTTGGATCACCGATGGACGATCAAGGAATGAGAATGCGAGACTTTCAGGCTTCTGAAGCGAGGGTTTCTGCATTCAAGCAAACCCTGAACGAACCTCTGGAAGCCAAAATGTGCCCTGCATGCAGAATAATGATCAACCTCACGCAGGTCCTCGTCACGGTGAAGGGCTGCTCATCATTTTGCTTGGGATCGGATCTGGAAATAAAATATCATCCAAAAAGCCAGGAGTGCACAAAGAAGCCCAAACACCAAACGAAATGCGACGTCTCCAAGGGTCCGAGTCCGAACCCCGACGCTGAAACGCTAGGCCTGGATGAACCCTGAGGCCGACACTTGCAATGGCTGCCTGCGCAGAACCACCGGAGACGTGCGCTTAAGGGCCCCGAGAACTTAGACCACCTATCCATGATCTTGCAATCTTTATAGCGTATCCATTAGGCTTCCCATCCCATCCGTAGAGAATTCCGCTTCCTTACTTTTTGAGCCTCACACCTGGAAAAACAGAAACTCCGATTCCTGAAACCCTGAAAGCTGCAAGTCAGGAGCCGACGTTGCTTGGGGTTCGGAGCATCCACTTACCCCAGGGATCAAAATAGCCCAAAAGCCTTATAGAGTATGGTCTTTGGGCCCAAAAGCCTTAATATATGAGTCCTTAGATCCCTAGGGTTAGCCGTGCCTGCTGTCTGCCCCAAGATCCTCAAGTGCTTGCCTTGAACCCTGCGAGCCCATACAATAAGCCGTGCAGAAAAGCCTTCTAGCATCGTGCCATCGCTGTTTGCCGTGCAAACCTAGACCCCTCTCCTCTCCTCTAAACCCAGATTTCCAAACTGCCAGCTATCCCCCAAAAAAACGAAACCCGAAAGCCATAAATGCTGCAGCTCTTCGACCCAATTAGCCCGATGATAAACTCTAAAACCCCACTGTAGAAACCCGATTAAGAAACCTTGGGCCTTTATCGGGGCTCCTTACATGAGCCCAACTACTATTTTGGGGTTGCAGGCCCCGGGTTCCTTAATCAGGTTCCTACATTACTAAACCCCGAGAGGTGCAGTCCGGCCTCCGATCCCGCAGCGCCTTGGCGAGCACCGCCACAGTGGTTCGGATCTCAGAGGGTTGGATCTCCAACCTGCCACAGCTGGAGAGGTTCATAGGTAGAGATAAGTAGAGTTCCGGAAAAGGGATCTATAGGGTAAGAAAGGTATTTAGGGATTAGGGTTATAAGTAGGGTTATAAGTAGGGTAACTATACTTATAACCCGTATTAGGGGACTTATAACCCCACTTATAACTACCCCCCTCCAAGCAGTTGCGCTGCTTGTTTTCTCTCCCTGGCATGGCCGGGATCAATGCCCACTAGACGGTTCAAGGTCTAGAGGGCTTTTTGTGGAGGGCCCCGGTCATCGCGACATTTAAGTGGTTTAGGAGTCTAGGGAGTACAGTAGAAGCCCAAAAGTTGGAAACTCAATAGCCTCAATCCTTAAGAGTCATATACAGGGAATCTCAGCACGATTTGGCCTTAAATCGGTTTCCAACTTTATGGGGCTTACTGTATAAGGTTTGGGGTTTGGTAAAGAGGATTTTCGGGGTCAGCGGCTCCACAGGGTTCAAGGTTTGGAGTTTAGGATGGCTTCTTGTGGTTCTTCGTGCTGGAACCTGCCTCTCGCAGATCTCGGTGATTTGGGGAAAGTCCACACTGCACCTGACAGTGTGGTACCCGCCACGAGGAAACGTGTGAGCCGCGCTGCAGACCCGTGTGGAGAATCTACAGGCTACTTGGAAGACGTACGCCTGGTGTGGAGGAACTCTCAGTGCGTTCCGGCACCGACACCAGAAGGTTCTGTGCAGTTTTGCTTTTGCTTTAGGCTTTAGGGTTGGGACTAGCAGGTTTGGGGCTTGGGGGCTTTCGGAGTTGTTGGCTTGAGGTTAACAGGTCCGGCCCGGAGCACACCAAGGCATCTAGCGGCATCTTTACCACGGAGGCTGCTCCCCGACACATCTGAAATGCAAAGCAAATGTACTTTGCAGCGGCTGTCTGCATCACTTCCGAATCCTGAACAATAAATTCGACCTGAGTTCAGTCGTCAACCCGTCATGCAGCAGAAATTTGAAAGCCCCACCTCGATCCGTGCATAGCTCGCTCTTGAATACAAGGCCTTTCACGTTCGACCCTTTGTGCTTGGGCAGCGGCTCTGGTTGTAAAGCCCGCCTCGGCTGCCGTACAGCCAGGAGACAAGGGCAACAAGCCAAGAGAGGGCGATAAAGTTCACGGATGCCTACAGCCTGCGCAAATAGGGTCGCGATGACTTCTGACATTGTCCCGGAGCCCCAAAAGCCCAACAAATAGAGTAGTATATGTGCCCCACACACCTATCCCAGAAAAACGCCTGCTCGAAGTATGAATGTCCTAACCAGCTGAGGACTTCAGCTCTCTCTGGTGCTCAACATTGCATCGACTTTACGAAGCATAGTCTTACATCCTCCTCATGCATACCTGTAGTGTGCGTAGTATGAAGCTCCAGCAGCTGCATCGACAACACTTTACATGGGTAGGCTGCGAGCAACGGACTGCATGTATCACGAACGTCAGCTGCAAGGCGAAAGATTCTAGCTCACAGCGATGCACCGATTAGATTCGAGATCGCACGGACGGCATCACGAGCACTTGCTAAAAAACACAGCAACATCTGCTGCCTGATGGCTTGCCTACCAATGCCTCCAGCACAGAAAACATCAATGGCGCAGGCCGCGGGACGATTTAGACAGCCTGCCCCATGTGTCCGACCACCAGGAGCAGGTGGGACATGAGAGAGAAACATGCCGGGAAATCAACCTACACAACACGGCGCGCCTCTGAAACATCAGTTGCGAGGATACTCGCTCATGAAATGTGAGCTGGGCGGGTCGGAGGAAAGATGCCGCCAATGCTATGAGCATCTGTTAGGATGAGGCGGTCGGAGGGCGGCCAGGTGCGCATCATGAGCCTGGCCTAGCAGCACTTCTGGGTTGAGACGACCGGCGCCCGGCATCGATGCGCAGAGTTTGGGCGTTTTGAGTATTTGTGGGGAAAGGTCCGGATTACAGCATCGAAACTGTGAAAGGCTGCCGGGGCGCCGAATTGTTGGTACCGGTTTGGAAAACAGAAGAACGGGCCACTGATGGAAGCAATTCGGTTTTCGTGCCAGGGTGCTAGTCCCTCCGCCACTGGCCACACATCATGGCTCAGTCCGTGACCACCCTAAACTTTGGTTCATGCAGCTGTCCGGTATACAGGTCATATTGACCGCCATTCCATACTCAGGGCAGGTAGCAACCTGGAGCACACTACTCTGAGGGCCAACGAACGCTGCAGAGCCCGTAGAGTCATTCGCCCTTCAGAACTAGGAAAACTTGCCGCATCCGGTCATTTGCGGTACTGCTTTCGAGACAAATATATAGCGAAGTATAGCAACTCTGTCGTGCCCGCATCGTAGATGGAGTCTGCCTTTGGTGTGGCCGTGAGGCCCGTCGATTCAACTGCGAGGCCCTGCAAACTGTTCTCGGTCTGCGAGGTGGTCTTCGAGGCTCGCGAATTTGGCAACATTGCGAGTTAGAAATTAACTTCCCTGACACGAATCGCCTCAAGTGGCTGTCCATGGTAGCATGGAATCATAAGATTAAGAGTCATGTGGGTATGTTGTGTCGTCAGATCGTGCAGTCATTCAGCACTGCTCTCAGTGTGTTAAAAGTAGGGGTTTTGCATCCGCACCCCCAAGATTCCCAAAGCCTTCAGAAATTCACTTGAGCACAGAGAACCCCGTGGCCCCAGTGTTGAGGCAAAGCACCGAACCAGCGAGGAGGCCGGTTGAGAGGGGGCACTGGCGAAGGAAGCTGTCCGCGCAGGCTCGGCTTCCTGGGGAAGCCAGGACTCTCTTAAGTCACTAGCATCGTATTCGATATACTCTCTTCTTGTACACATACTGAGGCCGATGCGCATACCCTAAACCTCCAACCCTAAACCTCCAAACCACTGAACCCCCAACTGCAACCCTTATCTAGTTTGGAGCTCTCTCTGGTAAGCTTTCTATGGCTATATGGTTTGGGCTCTATACAGGCAAGCTTTCGAGAGGCATACGGCATAAGCTTCTGAAAGTTCCCTTTGCTTCGTCGAGGCTGCTTCTCGCCGTGGTGTCGAAAGACATATGTGCGCACACGCATGCATGCATGCATACATACATACATACACATACAAGCATACATATACATGTACATAAAATACACATATACATATACATATACATACAACACGTGTGTGCATGTATGAAGGTATGTAGATAGGTAAGTCGGTATGTGTAATGTACCTCACCCGCCCATGAGCGAATTGCTCGAACATCAGCACTAAACGCATGGCTACATTGAGTCGCATATAACTGACTTAGCAACGTGGTACAAGCACGTAACACCGTTTCTGTGTCCGCAGAGGAGATCTTGCAGTGCCGCAGCTACCTTTGAATCTAGGCACTCGTGTGTATCTGTGTGTGACTGTGCAACTGTATAAATAGATACACATATCTATATATATATATATGCACATTAGCTGATACAAAATAATGAGAACTTTATTACTCTTGCACAGTAAGATGTATATGTGGTATATGTGGTATGCGTGCATGTATCTGCATATGCGTATATACATGTATATGTATCTGTTCGTGTATAACTGCCGTATTTGTATGCACGTATATGTGCATTAAAATATACACCGTAACTAATGTTGGTAGCTAATGTTGATAGTCTATAGCCTTACCTCACCGTGAACCTGAGACCCCCAAACATCTAACAACACCTTCACGGCACACCTGCACCATGTAACGAAGGTGAATTGGAGATACATGGGGGGTTTCCGAAAATAGGGGACCCTAATATAGCGACCTATAAATAGTAGGATCCATATTATTAGGACCCCAAAACAAGGTAACTCCAATTTTCGGAAACCCCCACCTGTTGTTTGGTTTGGATCCTGAAGTAGAGCATCCCTGCCCTGAAGCCCTCATTTACACCCCAGGCCTCAGAGACAGGAGCCTGTGGAGGAGGTGGAAGAGGTGGAGCCTCCTGGCAGTGGAGACATCAACTTCGAGATTGATGGAACCGATCAGGACGGTGACGAAAGAACGGTGATAATATAGGGGCCTTAATAATTAGAATAGGGTTTTGGGCCATATTATATGCCATAAACTGTACTAAGGACAGCCCCGAAAAAACAATAGTATTGGTAACCTTTCAGACCCCTAGCACCGGCCACCACCACGCTTTCTGGTCATCAGAGCCATCAGGGTTGTACGGCTTGTTTCCATCTCTTTACAGGCTCTGCACCGCGAACCCATCAAGCTCAAACTGCACACGTTGCCCTGAACCCAAACATCTAGATTCAAGGCTTCAAGCGCCAAAGTCCTTCGCAGCTTTTTCAACTCACAGCTTAGTATGCAGCCCGTGAGGCAACGATTGTGACACCTGCGCCAACGCCCAGGTTGGGCCGAAGCGAACCAACAAAAAGACGGATCTCATAAGAGATCAGCTGACAAAGGCGACGTTCTGCCTAAGGCATTCTGCGCCGACCTCGCCAAATCTGTCGCAACGGGTCCAAGGCGAGGTGTTGTGGATATCCCCAACTTACATCGTCTCTATCCGGTACCTGTCGCAACCCTTTCTGCGGGAAAAACCTCGCTTGGAAAACTGGAAGCTTGCAGGCTGTTCAACACTGCAGCCCGAAAGTTCGATCTTGTCTCTTCGAGCTGGCCGAGGCCTAGCCCAAGTGTGTGCAACATCAGCATTAAGACGTCAATCATGTGGAAATGGACATAGTTCTTCTGTGCATGATAAGGACCTGGTAGGATCAGGAAACAGGAAACACCCGAGCATAGAGGGGGATGTACACAGACGTGGGCAAGAGAACAGAAGTACTCAAAAGCCACAGCACATACGACGGACTCAGCAAACAGCAGCATTGCCTTGCAAGCGAATTCAATGAGAACTTATAAGGGCAACGAACAGAACAACAAGGCATGCATGGCAATTTTGTTGATATGGCCCGCTGACTGTTTCACCCCAGCCCACGTAGCAAGGTCTTCAAGTCCGCATCCAGAGACCCTGAATTTGTAACCCCATATTGCCACCCCAGTCAACATGCGAAACAAACCGGGTTGAAGGTACAGGTATACAGTCTTGAAGTGGGCTGAATCCCTCACACATCATAAAACAGGCCCATCCAAAAAAACAACGGTAGGCTAAGTTCTGAACAGGAACATGCCAGGACCTGAGAGAAGCATGATTGGAAACAGGGAAGCTCCTCAAACAGAGGAAGCCTTCAGGAAACAGATGAGCTATGCAAGAATGCGAGGAGAAGTAGGCCACACGAAGGAGAGCCAAACGACGTGTTGAAGACATAGCAAAGCACATCGCTGCTGGAAACTGCTAGCACACACATTGCGTGTACACAACATGCATTTGCATGCTGCATGCATAAGAAACGATTCGGGAATCCGGGGACCGGCGCGCATTCACAGTGTCACAGCAATTGCGTACGAAAGATGGCTACAGTTGTATCTTCGTCGATGTGCAAGATTACCTCGGTGCTAGTGTCGTTTAGTCAGTGCTAACTGCTGTCTACATCACAGTAACCTGTAGCTTGCATCAGCCTAATAACTGTCGTCAGAAATAAAAGTCACTGCGACACTGGCGTTCCAGTTCTTTCGGTTTCACTATGTTGTGTTTTCGCTGGTTTGTCGAGCTGCCCTTTGCAGACCAGATTTCCGCTGCATTGACGTCTTAATTGCAGGGGGCAGAAATCCCATTGCCGCCGAGCATTGCCACACTATGAAGATGCAACTCCTGCACACATTCCGCAGGTTGACTTACTCCTTCGACGGGGATCCTAGGACCTCGGCGACAGGGGTACACGACTCCTTTTCATGGTTCTCATCGCTGACAGCGGGACTCTTGGCGGCACGCCTGTCCGGCCGTAAGCACCTTGAAATGGGCTTCTCAAAGAACTCCGTCAGCATCCAGCCCAGCAAAATCGCGTTGGGCAGAACTGCCAGTAGTGTCCACCAAGGCCATCTACCGGTTTGCGTTCCCGTCGCATAGCCCAGCACCTCACCAAGTAGCATGTGGATCATGTAGGCACACATGGAGATGTCACCAAGGAAGCGCATGGGCTTGGAGCGGAAAAAGCGGACCAAGCAAGCACCTTCGGCAGTGGGGCTCGTGATCGCGAGGATGAACTCGTAGAAGATCATCGGGAACACCACCTCAAGGGTGAAGCGGAAGCGGAGGTTTACGGAGCACAGAAAAGTGATCGTGGTGCCATAGAGAGTGAGTCCAGTCCAGAGGAGCACCCAAACCCAGTCAGGGAGACACGCCTCGATACCCCACTTGCTGCCGACTTCCAGTGGCACATCCCTGCGGCTCACTGGCGTCTGGCACGAATCCGCCTGGGCTGCTCGATGTTGCTCCCCGCGCACCCGCGACAGCCCGGCACATATGCCCATAACAAAGATGGGCAGCCGCACTGGTGGCCACATTCGAATCCAATAACCCGGTGTGTTGAAAGCAAAGCCGAGCATCATCAGCACTCCCTGCACAACGTACATGGTCCATGCAAGTGCCCGGAGGCCCGCCAGTGGAACGCGCTGTACGGCCGGTCCTAGAAGAGGGAAACAGAGGTAGAAGAAAAGCATCGTCGAGATCGTCCATGTCAGGCCATTACCAACAGGTGCGACAAAGCTCCAGGAAGTCAAGCCAAGAACAGACTGCACGTACTGTGAAGCCGTGAATGCCTGAAACTCCTCCGTCGAGAAGGCTGCTTTCAAGGCCACACCGATGGCATTCGTCAAAAAGTACGTCGGGGCAAGTCGCACCAAGCGACGTGCCCAGAATTGACAAGCATTTAACTTTGGCATGTCTGGATCCCCTCCACAACATCCACCGCAAAGTTGCAGCTCCACCTGAAGGTGGGGAGTCTTCGAAACGAACTTTGGGGCCAACATGTTCAAACACAAGATGTCTCACCGCAACAGCCCCATTGAAGAAGGCTGTGTGTTCCCATTGTATGACAACACATAAAGTTACAAATGCATGCAACGGCTTGGCAAAAAGGTGGGTGGATAGACATATAGATAGACAGATAGATAGCTAGCTAGGTAAATCGAGATATACCTGTAGACAGTCCTATAGATAGATCGATAGTTAAATCGAGAGATAGACCTGCCATAGATAGAGTCTGATAGAGAGAGAGATAGGTAGGTAGCGGTAAGACGATCGACAAGCACAAACAAACGAACAGACTGGACTCGTCAGAATTACGTCGCTGACACTGCTTTTACGCTGGCCAACAACTTGAAGCACGTTCATGTCGTCGACAGCATTGGCCTACATGCTGCAGTTTGACAGCGTTTCAACAGCATCACGAAGCGACCTTGGATGGTACAGAAGCATAAGTAGGCTCACATAGCCTGGGGTGGGTCAGGCACATCATAAGCAATACAGAGTTCTGCGTCTTTAAGATGTGCTGCGCAGGATCGGAACCGCTTAGTTAAGCTAGTCCTGAAGGATTTGGGACTACGTGGATTCTCCGGCAATGTCCAATCTACACTTCGGGACTACTCATGCTTGGACAGTTTCCATGACATAGACAACTTGGACTCAGCTGCCGAAACAACACTCGCTAAAGCATGCTTAAGCAAACATACAGGAGTCGGCTTGGCCCCTGGCCAAGCATGAGCATAATGTCTGTAAACATTTTTTAGCACTTGCACGAGGGTACAAACGTAGCAACTCAGCCACAAGTATCAGATCCACTCAGCCTGCAAAAAGCGTTGTCGAACATACTAGTACGTTGGATGTGGAACTTTTCTCAACAGTACTATCAGAGCTGGGAAGGCAAAGCATTGAGCGTGGAAGCTCTGAGCGATGTCTGGGCATGCTGAGCACAGCCAGCCACACATGTGTTTGGCTCAACCAAGCTCACCTGGCAATACCCCACAGCCATCACGAAGCCAGAGATGATGTAGAAAAGGCCCATAGAGCCGCCGCCCATCAATCCTACGGTGCCGAAGCCACCATCTTCACAGTCACCTGAGTCGCCTTCCCGGTCTTCTCTGCAACGCCATGTGTCTCCATTCCAACCAGGTGTTTCCTGGGCACAGGGAGCTGGGCAATGCTCCATCTTCGCTTCCACGCTGCAGAGGTATCTGAAGTAGGAATCGCATGAGGCATCCAGAAGGAGGCCACCTGCAAAACCAGCTGCACAACTCTCGTCCTGTCCTCCCCAATCGTTCGGCTCACCCTCCATCCATGTGAACGAGGGGTTGTCTCTTCCTGTCGTCCACTGCCATTTTCCCTTCTCGTCTCTCTCGTTCAGACCGGTCCACAATAGCTCAGACCAGTCAGAGTCAGAGATCCAGGGGTAAAATGCATGCGTGACTGCGGCCATCTGTGCTGTCGACGCGGACATCAAGTGCCCTCCTGGCACTATCTGTGCGCAAACTGCCTCGGCTTGAGACCAGGTCAAGTGCTCGCGACCACATGGGGCAGATGCATAGCACGTATCAGCCACTCGGAGCCAGCCTTCTGGGCAAACGGTGTCGGCAAAGTCGAAATGCGGCAACTGCTGAACCTGCTCTTCATCTGAAGGTTCGACCCACAGCTCCTGCACCTCGCTGAAGAGCAAGAGGTGACCCACCACGATATGAAACACGGCGAAACCACGGACACCATCCACTGCCCGAGTGTCTATGCGGACTTTCCTGGCCAGCGGCTTTTCTGTCGCTGCCTGGGGCAATGTCGCCATGTTGCAAACTAAGACTCGCCTGCACCGTTCACGTGTCTTGAAACTGCCCCAGCAGCGCAAACATGCATGTCAAAGAATGCTTGACCAAACAGATGCACAATTCTGCCGTGACAGTTGTGTTGGGTCCGGATGCAGCCGAAGGGATTAGCGTATACATACTGACATTATGTCAATCGCAAGCGTGAAAACACATACATACATCCACATATGAAGGTATACAGTACGTAAGTAACATAAAGACCTCCCTCCGGACATGTTGCCACTTCCAAACCCATCCTATGTACTTGTACGTATAATATTCCAGCTGGCCTTCCGAGGAAACCAGACGTGACAGCATCAACAGCGAAGGGCCAGGACAATCTAAATACTCCGACATAGCATGACATGTGAGGTCAGTTCTCACGCTGCATGGCTGAAAACAGCGGAAGCTCCTCCTGCAAGCTTGGCATCTTCGAAATCCGCAGAGCTCAAACAGCACTGAAACCAGGTGAGACAGCCATGGCCACTGGATGCATGTAGGATCGAATTCCAAGTTGTTGCGAGCCTGTCTGTCAGTTTGGGGACTGGCAAAAGAGGTGGATGCGTAGGGTTCATGGGCTAAAAGGCAGTCGAGAGACTGCTTTAGAAACCTGGCAGATCCGCCAGCGATCTATGCAACTTGCATGTAAGAGTTCGGGCTTGCACAGGGCTGTATGCTGGCAGGATGTGTCCATTAGAGAGAAATATTGTATCCGTTGGGATGTTTTCGAAACAGACATGCTTGGAAATGCTGAGCATGTGATCTTAAGCGCCAAACAGTGGACAGATGCAAGCGAGGCAGTGGCCCAGCGCATTCCGCACCTGACCTGGGATCCTTGTCCCTTTTGCCAGGTGGTTCTTTGTGGTATCGGAACTGATTGTTAATTTAATGCCCTTGTTGCTGTTGCTTTTGCTGCAACGAAAATCGCCACTGCCAAACCATCAACACTAAAGCCGTGGCTGCTGTTGCTACGTGCGGTAGAGGTCGCGGAATCATCAGTAGGGTCGGTACACTAAGCAGCACGAGCCGCAGCAGTATAGCAGTGTGGTACTACTAGTAGTAGTAGTAGTAGTAGTAGTAGTAGTAGTAGTAGTAGTAGTAGGAGTAGTAGTAGTAGTAGTAGTAATCGTAGTAGTAGTAGTAGTAGTAGTCGTAGTAGTAGTAGTAGTAGTAGTAGTAGTAGTAGTAGTAGTAGTAGTAGTAGTAGTAGTAGTAGTAGTAGTAGTAGTAGTAGTAGTAGTAGTAGTAGTAGTAGTAGTAGTAGTAGTAGTAGTAGTAGCAGTAGTAGTAGTAGTAGTAGTAGTAGTAGTAGTAGTAGTAGTAGTAGTAGTAGTAGTAAGAGTAGGAGTAGGAGTAGGAGTAATAGTAGTAGTAGTAGTAGTAGTAGTAGTAGTAGTAGTAGTAGTAGTAGTAGTAGTAGTAGCAGGAGAAGCAGGAGTAGCAGTAGTAGTAGTAGTAGTAGTAGTAGTAGTAGTAGTAGCAGTAGCAGTAGCAGTAGTAGTAGTAGTAGTAGTAGTAGTAGTAGGTAGCAGTAGTAGCAGTAGAAGGCGTAGTAGTAGAATAACAGCAGCAGCAGTACTAGCAGTAGTAGTAGTAGCAGTAGTAGAAGCGGCAGCAGTAGCCGTAGATTAGTAGCAGTCGTAGTAGGTGCAGTAGTAGTAGGAGGAGGAGCAGCAGGAGCAGGAGCAGCAGCAGGAGAGGAGCAGTGGCAGCAGGAGTAGGAGTAGGAGCAGGAGTACGAGTAGGAGTAGTAGCAGTCGTCGTCGTCGCCGTCGTCTTCGTCTTCGTCGTGGTGGTGGTGTTGATGGTGATGGTGGTAATGGTAGTAGAAGTAGCCCGGTAGTCTTGGCTTCGTAGTGGTGCGACTCTAGGGACTCGGCGACCGCGAGAAAAGAAGACAGTCCGGCAGCTGAAGTAAATACTTCACAGTTAATGAAGAATGCACTCAGCTGACGCCCTGATGTACCCTATATGGGAGTTGCCGAAAATAGGGGGCCCTAATCTAGTACCCTAAATGGTAGGATCCTTATTACAAGGACCCCAAAATAAGGTACCCCCCTAATTCCGGAAACTCCCATATGGTTTTATGGAGCGACTTGACCCGTTTTGACGACTACCCCAACCGCGCCACATCCACACTGAAGGCTCCTTTTCCCCATCGCGCATCGGCGCATTCCACGCTCCCACCCGCAGCCCAGAAAGCTCAACTCCTCCCGTACTGCCAACACCCCAAAAACTGCGGTATCCATCAGGGGTCCAAGTTCACATCTAAGACACCCTCCGGTGAAACCACGCATGAAGCTTCTGTTCGCGCGCACTCCGGCTACATCCTCACTTAGCAGGCACATCAGGCTGCGAACTTCAATGCCCTGTAGACCTGGACAGCTTGGCGGCCGGGAACCCACTGCCCCAGTGGTACCACTGCAAGACCGATGTACCGTGCTGTAGGTGTGGAAGAGAGGGCTGTCATAACTTACAGCAGAGTCATATTGAATTGGCACATTTGTGATACTTGATTCATAGAACTGTGGGTCTCGAAGCAAAAGTCTTGGTCCAGGGTGCCTCGCAAGCCACGCTTGCAGCTGTATGTCGGTCTTCCTTGTGTGCAGCCGGCACCATCGTTCCTTTAGCTGCCAGTTCTCTGCTGGTGACTGCTGCATGTCATGCTCTAACGAAAACACCTGCTTCAAAGCAAAAGACCTACCCACCCACAGCGGATGATTCCCTGAAGCTGCTTTCTTGCAACCCCCTTCTGCCGCAAGCTGGCATCCACCGCCGGAGCCGGCGCAAGCGATGAAGACTTGACCTGGGAAGGCACGGATGTGGTCGAAGCTTGGCTGATAAGCTGGCTGCGACGAATCTGCGACGGCATCAATATCCTAGCAGCCTAGCACCCTGTCCCCATTCTGCAGATTTCTTCAGTCGCAGTTCCCCGCCGAAGCCCAAACACCAGAGGTGAAATCGGCCAAACACCTGACACACATGCACGCCAAAGTTGAAGTCCTGTACTGTTCTGAACCTTGAAAACCAAGTTGCAGAAATAACTGCCACCGATGCAAAGTTGCAAGTTTTCGTCTCGGTGGCAGTTTCTTGTTTTTATACTTGAGGACCAGAAGCACACGGGCCATTAAATTGTGGATGATTCCTGTGTGCAAGCTGTGGGCTTGCTTCAGAGTCGGGCATTTCGGGGCCAAGGTTTGGGGGACTGAATTTATCCACATCTTTCGGTCGCGATGCTCATGATGTTCTATCCCAGCACCAAAGATAAATCGAAGCAAGGATGTGAGAGCACAGTATCATGTATAGGCCATGGAAAGGCAGACGTTATAGTGTCGACAGTGGGTTAGGTGATCTCCGAGTTAAACTTGTGAATCGACGACTACGCCATATGCCTTATGACATAAGGTATATTCCGAACCTGACACGCTGAATCCCTGCCGGAACTCGTATAGGGAGTACACTTTATCACGAGATAGGACTTCCCTTGCAAGTCCTGCAAACCGGTTTTTCAGCTCCCAGATCTCAAAGTTCGTTGCTGCTCATTCTCAAACAGGCCAGGAAATTCTTTGTGCGGTTTTCGCAGAGCAGGTTCACGCAACATTGACAGCCACAACATCGCAAGGCGTAGCACGCGAGCAGTCACATATATTCGCCTCAAAGTTGCGTAACCCGAGCAGTCCTATAGCGAGCTCTTTCATGGCGGCAGCCCGTCGTGCAGATCTACATTAAATTGTTTAACTGCCGCCTCCACACCCCAACCTGGTAAGGCAATCAATCCCCAAATTGCGAACTTGTCCTCGTCAGCATCTTTTGCCCATGCCACCAACAGTCCTATAGCTCAAAGTCGGTCGCAGTAGCCCGACTTGGTCAGAATGGTGGATTGCTGCTAATGCACGAACTCCAAGCTGGCACCAAAACTACCCCCGCACCGAGCGAGGAATGGAGAACGATTTGACCATGCTTCGGAGTTGAAGCTAGACCTAAAAATGCGAACATCGACGATGGGCAGCCGTCACAAAGCGCTGAAACCAGTCATAATTTGACCGATTTCCTACCTACGAGATTTTACGCCACTTTACGCGATTTTACGCCACTTTACGCGATTTTACGCCACCGCTGTTTTGACCAAAACTGCAATAAACGAACATGAACCCGCCCGAAAGCACCAACAAGGTTCGAACACCAGTCACCGATTGAACATGGCGCTACTGCCACTAATATAGTATTCAATACAAAACATACCAGTTGCATAGGACATCCGTTTGACTGTAATTACTGGTTACCGATCCATGCAGACTGAGGGGAAGACTGCAGAAGGTTCAGAGCTGTGCAGTGGGGATGAAGAGTCTATAAGCTCAGTATTCCGCATTGGGTTTGCAAGGAAGCCTCTACTCATAAAACTAGTACACCACATACCATTACACCATTACACAGCCCCCACGTACAAGTATTGTCCATCCCTCCTTTTTTGTCTTTGGCATGAGATATGAACATCGCGACCGAAAGCGAAGCTGGCTAGTTCAGACCCCCAAGCCTCATCCTTGAAATGCAAGAGTAAGAAGCGGTGACTGAAGATAGCGCCCAGAACTGTTGACATGCTTGCAGCCTGTGGACCTCACGCGCACACACACACACACAAGCCAAAATCCCGCCATCGAATTTTTTCCTGCAGGTGGCTATGTGTTTGAAGCTGTGTATTCGCTGCACAATAATAAAGTGGTTCTCCAGCTGGCCCTTCTGAAGTAGAAGGTGACACAATACAGTATGCTGGCTGCTGCCTCGCGCGCATGCTTTGATTACAGGGTTGATGCGTCGGTTTCGAGGGTGGTGGGTCTTGTTATGCATCCACTATACGTTCTGGTGTAGATCAAAGACTCCTGTGTGCATGGTTTTGGTTGACGCTTAACCTGCTGGTTGCCCGTGCATGCATGCTCGCTGTTTACATTTTCGGTTTGGCTTCCGGCATGAGTTCAACTAAATTTAAACCGCTCAGGGAGTTAAATTGTCCAGTCGCAAGCGACAAACAGGCGGCTGTTGCCTTTTTTGCAGTCGAAATCGAGCCTTTCACACATGTTTTGTATATAAACTCACAACTTTAGCAAAGTTGCTGTTTTTCTGGCTCAGTTGCATTTTTTTTCGGCCACTGTCCTCAAGGCGCATGTTTTTTGAAAGTTGCCTGTTATTTTTGCAACTTTGGCGCTCCAGGAATAAACTAAAGAACCCCAAATGCCAGCTCCCCGGCGAGGCCGGTTGTCTGGAGTCGCTCCATCAGCTGCGTCAGGAACAGCAAAGCATAGCGTTCTACCTGACCGCCGCGTGATGGGTTGCGGTGGCTCGTGTGCTTGCGGTCTTGGGTTTAGTTTGGGAGGTTCATGAAGGTTCGGGAGGGGATTTTTGGCTCATGGCTTCAGGCCGTGGAACGGTGAGTCTCTCGCACGGGCACTCCAAGCGAGGTTCGGGGTGAAGGTCGCGCCGCGTCCTAGCCATCTTGTCTGCGCCGCCGGGCCTCACGGCGTCATGCAATGCAGAGGTGTGAGGTACTCCAGCGAACCCCAACTTCCTTATAACTCCGAAAGCCCTGAAACGATCAGCTAAGCCATGGCTTGGACTTCCCAGCAAAGAAAAATCGCTGGGCTGCACACATGTGATTCTGCTCATGCCTTGTGCAGAAAGATAATCGCACACATTTTCGTGAAATTAAACCAAGATATCCCGAACTGTGAAGGCGGGAAGCAGACCTAAATGGACAAACCTTCAGCCCTTACAACTCAACGATTTGAGTCTCAAGTAGCAGTCACTCCATGCACACTCAGGTGTGCTCTGAGAACCGTATGTGCAGGATGAAGCCAAGATGCGATACTGTCATGGCTCCTTCGAGGTGATAGCCTAGAAATGCCTAGAACATATTAGCCTTTCGAACGGTTCCACAGGCACATCCAAAGTCGATAAACCCTGTATGAGAAGAACAAAGCATTCAAGTCCAATCATCTTACCCCACTTTCAAAGCGACAGTGCAAGGACTTTTGTCGAGCTAAGGGAAGATCAGACTGAGACCGTGCGCACGAAGAACCTGAAAGAACGAGTCAAAATGCCGCTGCCACAGGTCGAAAGCTTCTCGGTTCCACTCGTAAAGCCTCGTCGGCGCTGTCACAGTCTTCTTTCCTTCTGGCAGGACGCTTCTCCACCATGCACCCTTGAGGTGGATGACGTGGGCCGTTTTGGGGAGGGCGCCGTCCTCCGTCGACTCCGCGTCGTTCACGTACTGCGTTGGCAGACCAAACATGTTAATTGAGACAGGTGGCTCACCTTTCCGCAGTGGTTCCAGCTCGATTGTCCTCGGAACGTTGCAGCATTGACTCACGTTTTGCATCACTTCCAGCTCACTCCGAGTCAGCAGGAAAGCGAGAGCAGCCTGGGAAGGGCCCTTGAAATCCTCCAAAAGGGCTCGCCAACGATCCCCGAGTCGGCCTTCCTCCTCCCGCTGGAAGTAGACGGCTGCCGTCAGTGACTCCCAGGTCGCAAACCAGTGGAGTGCCTCCACAGAGTTCCGCATGATCAGCAGGCCACCCTGCAGTCGCACAAAGCCCCTCTGCTTAGTGAAAGCCAGCTCTTCTGGGGAACCCCACGGAACGTGACGGGTGCCATCGTAGTAGGAGAAGGCCACATCTACTTCGAGCTGCGACAGCAGCTCCAGGAAATGCATAAAGGGCTTCACCACGAGCATGTCCGAGTCCATGCAAAGGATGTAGCCAATCTCCTTGATGTGTACGAGCTTTTGCCGCCAGAGCCACAAGTACTGGTAGAGCTTCATGGGCTGGTATGTCAGCTTCCGGTAGTTCTCGGCCTCAAAAGGGTCTGAGTGAGTGCTAAGGTACTGGTCGTGTTCCTCAAAGGGCACAAACTCCACGAAGGGCATGGCGCGCTGAACAACTTCAAGGATTTGGGAAGTGACGCCGACCACGGAAACAAGGGCCATGACAAGGTCCGAGTCTGCATTTGCACCGAAGAGATCGAAGGATTCTGCGATGCTCATGAAGAGAGGACCGCAATATGTCAGGAAGTAGTGATCCTCCATACACGAGGTAAGGAGCACCACGCGGTGGCTTCGGTCAGCCCCTGCTGCAGCAGCAAGTGACAACGGTGGGGTCACCGGCGCTTGCTCCTGCGCCTCCCGAAGACGCTGGCCGACGGGCAACATCTGAAGAATCTCACTCCACCTCTGCTCGGACTTCTTTTGCAAGCGCCTGCGCAGAAGTCGGGGCCAGCGTCCTCGGCCCTTCGGCACTGATGCCATTGAGACCACGTCCATAAGCCTCTGTGCGTTGGTTGGCAGTGTAGTCATGGAGATCTCTTCGGATTCCGGAGCTGCCTCTCGGAAGCAGTTGCTGCAGGAGCTGAGGACGACAGTGCCGTTGAAGTTGTCGGCCACACCCAGTGAAGCCCAAAACCGTCCTCGCAATTCGAAGGAGTCGTCCTTTCTCTTCGTCTCGGCCTCATCCACGGAGTTGGCACCTGCCAAGTTTAAGTCCGCTGAGAAGCCACGCTTGACGCCAGGGCTGAAAGGGAATTGCGCTTCCTCCAGAAAGCGATGGAGAGGAGCCTTGTAGAGAGAATTCTTCAGGTCCCGGGTAAGCCAAAGATATTCCTGCACCAAGGTCCGGTCCAGGAAAGGATACCGTGCTTCGATCCCGTGCGCGCCAGCTGTACATTCCTCCTTGGCCAAGTAGTCCTGCTGCGTCCCACGGAAGAAATTGAGCCAGGGGAACACCTCCCACAGCTCCTCTGGGAAAACTCCCCTGAGAGTGCTATGAAACTCCAGGGCCCTGCCAGCACTTCCGTAGTCCGAGATGAGCTCATCTGCGCCGCTGCCCGACAGAAAGAGCCTGTGGCCGTCTGATGCCGCCTGGCGGTAGATCCAGGACAGCCCGGCAGCTGCCTTGTCGTCGAGGTTGGCATAGCCCGGGCGCAACTTGTACTGCACCCGCTCTGCCGTCTCTCGAAGGAAACGTTTCTCTAGCTCGAAGCTTTCAGTGGAGAGACGGGTAAGCTTCCACGTGGCATTCATGCTTTGCTTTGTCATGTGGAAGAAACGTGCGACCAGGACCTTGACGTCTTCTCGAGCTTGTACAGTGTACATAGCTGGCTGAATTCCGAGCTTGCCGAGCGAGAGCGCGATGGCCCCGCTGTCGTATCCATCGCTTAGGCACATGGCTGGAGTTTGCCTTCCTGGAACCATCTTACCAGCCCCGGCTCTTCTTTGCACAGCCCTTCGGAAAGCCTTCTGCCAGTCTTCCATATGGCGCTTGTGCTGACGCAGATCGAACTCAAACACGGCCCGACGCTCCACGAGTTCTGGGGAGTGCGCTGCTTCTACGGGTGGCAAGGTGCCTGCCTCCACTGGATCGTTGGCCTGTGGCAGCTGAAACACGACCATGCTATTAGGTTCGACATGTCGGAGCTCCTCCTCCTCAAAACCTAGCCGTTGCAGTGCTGAGGCATAGGAGGACACAGCAAATCTACCTGACTGGCTCTTGGCATACCAAAGCGGCTTGGTTCCAAAGGCATCTCTTACGAGGAAGGCCTCGCCGGCACGGAAGTCGAAAACGGCGATGGCGTACTCCCCATCCAAGCGGCTTGCGAATCTTCGGCCGAATCTCGAGTACTCACTAAGTATGGCATCCCCATCTGAGCGGAAGGAGCCTTCAACCCTCTCCAGTTCTTGCCAGTTGTAGATTTCTCCATTGAAGAGAGCCACGAGACCATCCTCGGGACTGTGAAACGGTTGGAGGCTTCTCTCACCGGTCATGTGCAAGAGGTTGTGCACAAAGTCATATCCGTAGCCCTGCCATCGATTCGTGGCATCTGGCCCACGGAATTGTAGATAGAAGTTGACATAGGTGAGGTTGCTGATAAGCCAGTTGGCCAGCAGGAAGCTACACATCTATCCTCCCGTACCTGTCTCGCTGCAGGGCCTTGCGCATGGCTATGAGAAGCCGAAAGCTCGAAGATCTTAAGGCTCTATACTGCTGATCTCTTGATCTCAGGCTTGGCACTGGTGCCTTGACTGTCTAAATGGGCACGGCGTCTATGACCTTCCTGACTAATACCTCCACAGTTCTCCTGATAGCCACATCAAGGGTCTTCATTGCTTGAAGTCATGTGCTGGGGTTTCTGGAGCCGAATCATTGATATCATTGGCAAGATTTGAGGTTCGAAGCCCGGTGACCAGCATGTAGACCGTGGATACCAAAGGTAGGAAAGAACAAACAACTATGATGTGAGCAGAAGAAAAACCAGAATCGCTGCCGACCTTTGCGCACTGCGGAAACACATGTTTCGACTGTCAGGAACAAAGCACTGCCAAACGCATCCAAGCCTTGCTCACATTCAGACTCTCGAAGTTGCATCCCACACAACCTCACAACCCTGCACGAAAACCGTCAAATGATCTTCGAGGTCTTACATGGCACAGAAGGGTGAGTCGCAAGCCTTCCACGACCTTGGGTGGCTAGACATGATCTGAGATCCCTCTCCCAGTGCCACCCCTGATATTTTTTCAGGACCAGAATTCGATATCCAAAGGTCTGAAAATGGGTCAAACAACGAACCAGGTGGCCTCCGTAATCTGCGGATGATAGAAGTGACCTCACCAAGCGGAACAGAATAGATAGGCAGAGCCATAGCTTCAGATTTCGCGAATTCGTGGCATGGCATGGGAAAAGAAACCCTGTGTAAGCCAGTCCAAACCCATCCATGTTAAAAGGCGAGACCAGGGCGACGTCTGAAGGACAGCTAGACTACAGATTTTAGAGTTTCCGCCAGACCCTGCGCAGGCCAAAACTGAACCCAGGAACTTTGATTTCGGAGCGACTTTGACAAACAAGCGTTGGGATTGCTGCAGCCCGGCTGCAGTAGAAAAGGTACATCTCTGCCTGGCATCGGCAGTGTCATCGACAACGTATCGAAAGCACGTGCGAGAACGTACTATGTGATGAACCTCGAACCAACATGCGCATCTAGGGCATCTAGGTCTAGTGAGTCGATTCAGGAGTAGAGCGCATCAAAGAGCTGTGTTGAAGCATCTGCTGCCCTTGCCTCGGAGGAGTTCTGCACCGTATGGACAAAGGTGGGGTCGAAGACCAGGATGCCTCCAAACATGGAGGACTGCTTGCGACCCCTACTCTTCTTGGGACTGTCTCGCTCACACTCGCGAAACTGAGACCCAAAGCTCGAAACCCTAAAATGCGGCAAGCCAGAATCCTGTGCAGATCACCCTGTCACTACCAGTCTTGAGTCAAGGCGAAAGAAGAAGCTGACGGCAAGACATGCTAGCTGCTGAATCTCTTCAGCCCACCTACATCATCTACCGTGAGGCACCTCCTTGTGTCAAAGTGGCGTGCTGCTCTCCAACCTGCCGTAGCTTCAACGACATCGACACTCTGAGTTTCAGCTGGTTTCGTTGATGGCTCGAGGTCCCTCGGTAGATGACTTGCTGCCCGTGGCTGTCACCGCAACTGGATACAGTTCTCAGCCCTGCTGTTCGTGGACGAGACCAAGCCTGTGAAACTCTGAGTCCTGGAATCTTGAATCTTCAAGATGCTCCTATACATGTTTCGAGCCGTCTGTCCTATCTGCACGGAAATATATCTTGATGATGTTTGCAGGCAGCCCCATGCAACTGAAACATGGATCGAGGAAGGTGTATGTAATCAGCAAACCACGTGCGACGGGGCATGTGTCTAACTGAGCTTATGCAGGCACATGCATGTGCCGAGGTACACCAGCCGACAAGATCTCTGATGATCAAAGGCATACGCTGCGGGAATAGCCGACACAGAAAACAAACCCAAAGGGTCCTATGTACCGATATAGTAGAATGTAGGGTTCCCATATTAGGAATTACTATTATGACTTAGGGAAGTATCCCCCATAACAGTACATAGGACCCTTAGGGAAAACAAGCAGCAACGAAACCACCGGTCGAACTGGTGAGCAGGCGCAACCTCAGCAGAGTACTGGCCGTCTCGCCCAAGCCTCGAAGCATCTTGGTCGTATGTTGACTGGGTTTAGGGATGTTTAGGGGTGGCGCCAACCGGTCACAAAAGGCACAGGAGTTTTGGAGCTTAGCGTTTCGGGCATGGCGAAATCACCAATTCAATTACATCTCTCCAGTCCTGAAAAAACCGGCGCCAGCTTCCAACACATGATAGAGTGTAAGCGGCCATTCTGCATCATTATGCTACAGCTGAGGTGCGACGGCTACCTACCATCACCATCACCATCAACCCTGAACTGTCGAAGTTCTCCGACCTCCGCACGATACACTTATTACTTCCAATTTCGACTGCCGTACTGATAATCAACGATCACTTGTTGGAGGTAAGCCAGGTTTTTTGATCGCTGTTTCCCGCATCTCGGTCCCTAGCCATGCAGGTGTTCTCGGTTTGGTTTGGGGCTGGCTGGAACCCTGAAAAAATGCACTCCCGTATGCCGCAAGTCTAGATCCACAACTCGAACGTGCTTGGCAAGGTCATCTGAGTCCGGCAGAAGTTGAGCCTGCGAAGCATGGCGCAACAGAACAGTCATGGTGAAAGAACGCAATTAATCCTAGCCCCCAAAACTCACGTTGCTTTGCGAGCAGACAGCTAGGCGTTGTCAAAGTCGATTCGTGGCTCTGGTTCACAGCAAGAGTCCGGCGCAAGGCCATTCAAGCATGTTCCGCTTCCTGTGGCAGCTATGGTATCGAAAGCCCACCAAATTCTAATCGATTTGGCTACTCACCGGTGCTAAGACAAAAGGTCCACGGTTTAAGGTTTGCACCTTTGCGGACAAATGCCGAGTGAAAAGGACCGCCACCGCAACTGCGAAGCCTGCTGCCTAGGGGCTGAAGCACGAGATGGAGCGTGAGCACCTCATCTTCCCAGAGACTCCAATATCCCTTAACTAAGGAATAGTAGCACCCCTATATAACATGATCTAAGGTATGTTCCTTAATTCAAGGATATTGGAGTCTCTGGGTTCCGATCCGTGACCGTGACACCCCCAACCCGTGCCCTCTCGGCTCCAGCTGTTGGGTCAAGGATCTGAGGCGCACCACCATTCGTGTGGTTTTGGGGGGGCTTACCGACACAGAATGGATGACTTTCGTGCGCTGGCCACATTGCAGTTTGTTGACAGATCACTGCATTTCGGTGTCATCTTGTCATACCAGTCCCTAAACCCTAAACCCTATGCAATCGGAAGCCTAAACAACACACCAGCACCTGTAGACCTGCTGCCATCGGACCATCTCTTGCCCTGGCCTTCTGCACGTGCTACTCTCCCAAAGCCTCCGCTAAGCCCTTATAGATATTATGATATTAGTGGTAAGATTAATACCAATATTAATAGTAACATTAATAGCAATATTAATAGTAATATTGATAGTAATGTTGATATCAATATTAAGTGATATTAATAGTATTATTAATCGTAAATACTAACCCAAGGGCCGAACTCGTGAAGCCTCTGTGCTGTCTTGCTGGAACGGCCGAGCTTTCTCTCTTAAGCCCTCATGGTCGCGCCAGCAGTCTCTGGGCAGGCGTGATCATGCCCCCTATCCTAACCGGGGCAAATGGTCCTCATATTCATTATCTTGGGCCGTATCCCAGATCCCCAGCTACTTCCTGAGTATCAAATATCCAAAAGGCTTGCGATGCAAGCACTTTGCCACAGGACTATTGAAGGGGGTGAATGCCTCGACCCCGTTGACAATACCTGATTTACTGCATTTTCAAACACCCCTTACAACTCCGACATACAATCCCTGTTCTGATCAAAGGGCACCAAAAGTGCCCGGCGTGGTAGAGGCTGGAGTGGGAGTAAAGAACCCAAAGGGTCATATGTACTGTTATGGGGAATACTTCCCTAAGTCATGACAGTAATTCCTAATATGGAAACCCTACATTCTACTATATAGATACATAGGACCCTTTGGGGAAGCAACTTCTAAGTGTCAGTGGATAGGTCCCAGGCAAAGTTGGTGTTTGCCTCATGCTGCATTTGCGCTCCAGCACCCACACGTGCGAAGCCAGCCTCCCAAACTCGACAAATCGATGCATTGCATTGAGTCTGAGCTCAAAGGTTTAGGCTCAGGATTCCAGAGTATTTTGGGTTTGTTCCTGCTATCCATATGCCGCGGTTCTCGAAATTTAGGCTTCCTCTTCGGGGATCTGTATGATGCGAATGTCAGTGCTAGGGTCCTCCGTGAGTCCTTGATGTTATGTTGTTGACAGTTCAGGCTGTCTAGGCTTGGCATCCGGAACATGGGAGTACAACCTTGAGTGGGCTGGAATCCTCGCAGGGTGCTGCATCAGGGTTCTGCGAAACACCCTAAACCCTAAACCCCTAAACCCTTTTTTTCCGCATGGTTGTCCCCTTCATGGCTCATTTACTTTGCAGGTGCTCGCCGGCTCTGCAAAACCAGCGAGTCTTTGGACGGGCAGGCGTGACCCGCTTTGTCTCGAACATCCGTGGATCATGGGTAAGTGTAACTATTATTTATGTGATTTAATACAATGAAGCGGACGTGTAACATGTAAATGTATGCAAGCGTCGTAAATTTGCATGTCTAGGTATCTATGTATGCATGCAGGTGCTTATATGCATTGGGCAGTAGGCATGGCGGGTCAAAGTGCACGGTCAAGTTTGCACCAGATCTTCCCAGAACTCCGACAAGCCGACAAGAAAATCAACGGTCCGCTGCTATGCAGACCTTGACATGCTGAGATCAAATTCAAGTCTGAGCAGTTCCAAGCACTGCTGCGGATGGCTCGTTGTCTTCCAATTGGCTCGGGTGTCATTTTCATCTCTGGCTTCTGTTTTGGACATTTGTCAACTCGATCGGACTTCTGCTAGACAAATTTGACTCAAGAAACATGTATAATGTCTTCACTTGTTGCTGCACCGCGTCAAGATCCTCCACCCCTGAGTCAACCGACACTACAACGTGATGCTTGGCTCTTCGGTCCGTTCATTGCTCTATGGCCTCTGGTTATACGTCTCGGTCGCGTCAACCTGCCATCCGCGAACGTGAAGGATGCCCTTAAAATCGGGCGCATAATCGCTGCCGCCATTGCGTCGGAGAATCGTGTGTCCCCGAGGATCTCCTCTGCACCTCTGCATCAAGGTCACCAACCACGGACTATGAACCGATTCAAATAAAAGTTAAGTTTAAGCTTCTATCAAAAAATTGTATCTCTAACTTTCAAGCACCAAACCCTGATCAAAATGTCTTCAGGCCGTACAGGGAGACTGCATCGGCCACATATAGCTAGACGATGCCGTGGACGCTTACAAAGATGAAGTGCCACTGGCCAGAAGTTCCACAATTCCTTTGTTGTGTACACCGGCCACCTGCATCCAGTCATCTGCTCTTTATACTTCCAGCGGTACATTCTGCTTCAGTCGTTTGGGGTTCGTAGCTCTTTTGCTGATACTGATACTCTTCGTCGAGCTAGTGCTCTCAATCTTCCGAATCTTTACTCTGTTAAATGGCTTGGTCCCAGATTCCTGGGTTGTCTGATGCCTTCCCTTCCTTGCTGTATGTCCTCAGTGTACTCTCTCGCAGGATGCCCTGATGCAACATATGGCAGTCATTGTGTTGGACCGTCAATTTCGCTCTGCATGCTACCAGAGCATGCATTGGAACTACTTTAACCTACAACTCAGCACCAAGGCAAAGGAGAAGAATGGAATGAAAGCAAGCCTGGACATCTTGCCCGGCATGGTGCCCATTTGAGGCAGCCGGGCACGTCCCGGAGTTGGCACAGAATTTAGAGAACCATCGGGTCCCTTGCTGGGACGCGACAAAAGCACCGAGCTTTCGATCCATGTCCGCCACTGTCACGCGCGAAGGTTCTGTTTATCTTCCGCCGGTATGGCGGGTCCATGCAGAAGTAAACTACTTCGAGATGAATAGTCTTGCGTAGACTTGCAATCGTTTGAAGGTGCATGCCTTGCAAATGCATCATGAGTTGCCACCTCCGGGGCGAAATTCTCCAGTTTCGCTACGATTGCAAGGAGCCGACCGGCTAGTGACCTGGCGACACAGTCTCACCTTGCCAGGCCACTGCTGTACGCCGGCAGCATTGAACAAGGGGCCCGGAACGACTTCAGGAGCGGGGCCGGTGTTCCTCCCGAACAATGAACCCGAACTTTCTACACTGCTCAAACCCTGGTATCTGCTCGAAGTTGAAAGCCATACCACCACCCTAAACCCTAAACCCTAAACCCTAAACCGAATTCTCTTGGATATGCGAAAACGACTCACGGACTCTGCCGACGTCATCTCCTGGTTACAGGCAGAGAACTTGCTGTGTGGTTCGACCCTGCTCTGGCTTGTCGTTCTTTGTTTCCCAGAGGGTCCATATAGACTACTATCATGGAATTAGGTTCCCCAAACCACGGGGTCTAATCCATAATAGCAGTGTATATGGACCCTCTTTGTTTTGCTTTTCTGGCAGGGCATGACCAAACCAAACAAGGGCCAGAGCAATCAGAGCAGACAAGGAGAAGGTCCTACCTGAGTCGAAAGACTCTACGCGTCCGTGCAATTGTGGTCAACATCATGTCTACCCGGCGGTTGCAGAAGTACCCTTAGAAAATAGAAAACATGGTTCAACCGCAGGTTTGTAAAATGCACTGCTGTAAACAACTCGCGGATGCATGTCCAGCATCATGTTGAGCTGGGCAGTTAAGTGACATTGGCAGATGGCTACATTGTCAGACTCGCAGAGAGTGCGCTGAAAGTTCGCAAAAGCTGAATGTTCGTGTAACCTGGCCCACATAGAGACATTCGCTTCCCTTCCCTGTCCTGAGGAAGATTGGGTTCTGGTCTGGAAGGACCTCAGAAGCACCACAGCACTTGTTAGCATGCACCAGAGACAAATGTCAGGCTATCTGACGGCACGAGGCCAACTAGACGTGTCACCACGAAGCTGGTAGCTGCTGCCAAACGAGCCGTCAAGAGAACGACTTTTCCCTGTAACCACTGTTACGGACCACGAATAAATCTGCACACGGCTCTTGTAAATGCTTCTGGAAGCCTGTAAGGCGAGCGTGTCTTTTTGTTCTCCGTCTCGCTCGCGCCGGTGCGACAACTCTTCCCATACCCTCAACGGCAGGGCGTGTGCACTCGCAGGAGACAGGGGTGCATTGGTGCTGCAATCAGCCTATTCCAAGAAGGCAGCATGTCCTGTGCCACACTGCTCACATCAGTGCTTTTGAAACACAGGTGTGCAAGAAGCCATTTGGCCTTCCGGGGTTTGTGTCAATGGCACTGAGGCAACGCTCGAATTCGAGCTCACGTTTGAGTATCAGAAAACATCATGAAGGAACCATGATCTCAGACTCCCACAATGAACGTTTGTGTCGGCAGAAGCTTCTGTAGATACCATCCGTCCATCTACCAATGCGTTTTACAGACCCTTCGAAAAAGTGCGACAACTTGCTACCTGCCTCTCTGCTGCTGCGCTGTCTAGCTGCTGCAACTATCCCTACGAGACGCCGCCCTACTGACTGCGGCCGCCTGCATGCCTGCCTGTCTGTCTGCCATAGGGAAAGCGAGAGGCACGAACACAGTCGAAGAGACCAAGGGAATGGGGAAGGGAGAGAAAGAGAGAGAGAGAGAGAGAGAGGGAGACGGAAAGGGAGAAATGGAGAGGGAGAGGAGCGAGAGACCAGCCCTGCCTAAAACCAGCAAACCGGCAGACAGTACAACAAGAAGAGGAAGGAAGTATATCAAAGAATGGAAGCAGACTGAGGGCAATGAGGGGCAGTGCTGGGAGAGACACTTGTCAGACAACATGGGCCCGACAGGGTGACAAGAGGTTGCACGAACTCGAGACAGAAAGATCGAGCGTCGAAAGTCACGGTTTACGTGCAAAGTGGAATGTACTAATGAACCGCGCAGTGGTGACTGTGACTACGCTTCCAGACACGATAGCCAAAACCATGGGCACTCACCCCGCAGGTAGTGACCGACCCAGCGCAATCTGTTTCACCGCGCAGCACCCGGGAGCACCAAGTAGTAGTATAGTAGTAGTAGTAGTAGTAGTAGTAGTAGTAGTAGTAGTAGTAGTAGTAGTAGTAGTAGTAGTAGTAGTAGTAGTAGTAGTGGCAGCAGCAGCAGTAGTAGTAGTAGTAGCAGAAGTAGTAGTAATGGTAGTGGTAGCAGTCTTGGTGCGATAGTGGTCGCCTGCGCATACGCCTACGCCTGCCCCTACCCATATGCTCCAATATTGGTTGGAATCAATCGCGATTGATTTTTTCAAGCGCCGATTGAAACGAGGCCAAAATCAATCGCAGAGAGGCTTTTTTCAATAGCGACAAAATCAATCGCAGAGTGTCGTTAAAATCAATAGAAAAATCAAGCGTGGAATCAATAGAAAAATCAATCGCGGAAGTGTGTTTTAGGCACTCCCATGTGTGCAAAAACACCATATATCTATTATCTCTTCTGCCATTTACAGGATGTACTTTTCAGCATTTTCGTGAGTTCATAAATATACATATATATATATATATATATATATACGTATGTATGTATGTGTATATATATATATATATAAATATAAATATATATATATATACATATATATATATACATATATATATACACATATATATATATATACATATACATATATACATATATACATACAGCTACATATGTCGTGTCTATCCAGACACTGTGAAGAATCGGCAAAGTCCTATCATCAAACACGGACACTCAAAGCTATATAGTACGTACATGAATTTAGGGTTTGGGCTTAGGGTTCAGGGTTTAGGTTGTCTATCCAGACACTAGGACCAAGCGACATGTCTATCCAGACACTGCCCTGCCCTCTGCCCCCTGCCCCCTGCCCCCTGCCCCCTGCCCCCTGCCCCCTGCCCCCTGCCCCCCTGCCCCCCTGACCCCTAGTGCAGACAAGTTGCGGTGGCTGCGGCGGTACCTGCATTGTCTATCCAGACACTGAAATAAAAAGTTTAAGACTATATAT